GCAACGCATTTAAACGCCGTCCTCATTATGAAACAAGCCCTGCGATTGTATAACAACCAATAAACCGTGACAATATACACATATTTAAACACTTCATTGGCAGGATTCAATAATTATAATAAAGCCAGCATTGCAAGACATTACTCTTAATGTTTGATTACTGAGACCTGTGCAAAGCCAGGTAACTCAGCTAGTACTGAATGCTATACTTCCAATGAAAATGTTTGTGCATGAGTGGGTAGCGGTAGTGCAATGGTTTGCATGCTGCGCTATAAACCCAGCGACCTGATTTATATTCGCACAAAGCCAAGCCACATTTGGCTGTCGCCTGACAAAGCTGGTTGTAATTACTGGCGTCGTACGCAGATTGAAAAATGTTGTGGCTTGGCTCTCCAACACACAACCGGTGTGCTGTACTAGTGACGAATTGGCCACGTTCTTTTTACGTGACAAACCATACTAATTGGCTGTCGGGTGGTGGCGGGTAAAAGGACAACTTTTTATATTTACGCGATCTAACCCAAACAAACCTGTATTATGGATGTATATTTGGAGTTTGCGCATCTTTCTCCCCGTGGTCATGTGGATTTTCCTCTGGATCCTCCGGTTGTTCACTCCACATTTAGAGTCAACATCACCACGTGTTAGACTATTTGACCGATATACATTTCCACACGTTGATAAGCCACGTTGTTGTGGGCAAGTCGCTCCTGAAAAATAGCGGTATAGCTCAAGTGGGCTATGCCTGGTAAAATAAGAAAAACTGTATATTTAAAAGAAATAAAGTTTAAAAGTAGTGAGCCAGGTGAAGACAAATTCAACTTAAGCAGAGAATGAAAGCAAATGCAATCAGGCGAGGGCAGGAGGCAAGGGCCCATATGGCTAGGCCCCACGTTGTAATGTTCCAACCTGGACATCGATTCCATCCTTGCTGCTACTCAATTTATATCCCTACGAGAAAGAGCGAGGCTCTACCTGGGTAAACAATAACTACCACAACCACAACCATGATGTGAACTCCTCACCTCGGATCTCAGTGAGCGCGCGGAGCGGAAGCTTCCTGGTATCTCGTGACGTCAGAGCGGGGTTAGAGTATAAGTTTATTTATATTTCTATTCCATTGCTCCCTCTCTTGAACATTGAACCCTTGGGTGCGTGAGCTCAACAACGTTAACATTATTGTGTGTATACACTGTGTGTACACAATACGTCAAAACTGCGTATGTGTGTACAGTGTGTGGGTGGTCCGAATCAGTCGGGCGGCATTATTGTTTCATCAGCTGCGCAATGCTGTGTGGAAGCTACCTGGTCTGTAGCTCCGCATGAAGATTCGAGTTTTCTCGGCCAGTCATCCCCTCCCTTCTCTAGGGATGTGAAACGTGGACCCCTCTAAATGGAACATCTGTGCCAGTTAGAAACATTCACACTTGCATGCCATGATGGAAGTGGTAGGGCATTCTCTATTTATTGCAGAGGTACACACCCATGGCTAATACAGTAACATTAAACAAAATATGCACCGTCTGCTTAACAGTGGATGTAAAACATACTATCGTGTCATTCAAAACACATAGGTCATTGCATCTTGGTGTCATTGCCAAAATTTGGGCAATCCAAATATTATCCAGATTACACATCAATTATTGCCCCCCTACTGACAGACTCATGCCCACATGCAGGCTGATACTGGGCCACCTTATGCCACACAGAGGCAGCTGCCACTTGGAGGTGCTCTTCCAGTATTTGTGATGAGATATTATACAAAACTCCGAATTGCTGAGGCAATTAAGCAAGTTGAACACGTAGGCTTTCGCGACCAATATCCATGAAGTTTTTTGGGTTAGGTTGTGTAAATATAAATGCGCTCTCTCTAGTCGTCTAGCGTAGCCTAAACACAACCCTGACCGTGCAACACCGATGGCACTGACCGAAACAGCCAACAACTATCTGGCCGTGCATTATCTAGCGAAGACGGCAGCGATGAAGGCGGCGAAATGACAGCGACGACGAGATGAGCCCACTCCCAGAACCGGCAGCCCTGAGCTCGTGCTCTCAGCTGCTTTTATGCTACCCAGCATGGCCTGGCTCCGCCCTGGTCACGCGTACCTTCTCGAAACCACTAGCAGGCTCCAGGGGCTTCCAGATAGGGTATTCCGTGACCCTTGCACCAGTTCCTCTGCCCTGTCGACACACCCGTGTAAATGGTCACCAGCTAGTGTACCGTTTGTCCACCGCAGTTGCCGTTGCTGGACAACAGGTGGATGACATCCAGCAACTGCAACCAATGGACAGGCAGAGCAACCCTTCCCGAGACCATACAGTACAACCGCAGTGTCTCCCGTGAACCGTACCCACATAGCGCAACCACGGCGCCCCCCAACAGACCAACAACAAAAAGGACAATCCCCTGTGCCCCCCGCAAACCGACAACACGCAGCGCAACCGCGGCATGTGCAAGAACCCTGTCATGGACCGCACAACTGCGACACACACCCCCCCCCCCCCCCCCCCCCCGAGAACCGATAACGCAACCCAAACAACATACACAACCCCCCCGAATCCCACCTTACAAGAGAGAGTCCGCCTTAACCAGAACATAGCTCACGAGAGCCGGTCCTTGACACTGGTCACCCCTGCCTTGGCAGGGTCTTGCATTCCTTGGGATTCCGAGGTACGGGAACAAAATAACAATAGACTAAAGGGCACGGCCCCTCCCTGAAATCCACAGCAGCATCTAATCGGATCCAGCCCCTGACACTTCGCACATGGCGGTCTCGGAAAGCATCAGAGACTCGGATCTGGTAGAGCTTGGGAAGACATTGCCGGCAGGTCGGAGTGCGTCCGTGGCGCTGCCAGCACCCTGCTGACACCCCGGCATTCTATAGCGATGTGGCCCGGCTGACCACACCTGAAACACTCGGCCGTGGGACCCCAGGGCGGAGGGGGCTGCCCCGGTTGCCAACCCACTCGCAGGGACTTTCTCCCGTATGTCCCCAGGCCACACACCACAGCCACCATGTCCTCCTCACGCCACGGCCAAACCGCCACTTTGGCCCAATGCTGGTGGGCCTCGTGACCCTGAATTTCGTGGGCCACCTTCAAAGACGTAATCCCCATGCCTTCGGCGAAGGGCAGGACGATCCCCGACTCCCGCGCCAACAGCCTTTCCGCCACCAAGGAGTCGAGCGCCGTCTCACCCATCTGTGGGTACGCGGTCTGCCCCAGCAGCGCCTCCCGGAAAGCGAAGGGCGTCTCGGCCTCCCCTCACTTGTGCTGGAGAATCTTGTGCAGGCGTCACGCGGTAGGCCAAATATGACCCCTTGTAGCGCCATCGACTCCGGCACCCCTCCAGCGCTGTCCAGTGCTCTCTGGAAAATAGCGCCCGCCCGCCGGCCATGCCAAGCTCTCCACGGGCAAAATGGCGCCAACCACATGCACGGTCTCCGGCCCGGTCTCCTCCACTCTCCCGCACTGACGGGGACCGCCGCCAGGGTCCCCTCGTGACTCGTTTCAGCGCCGCTGGCCGTGGTGCGCCTCCCCTCAACACGGCGGTCCTCGGCCATGCCACGTGCTCAGCGCATGACCGCTGATTCGCCGCTGCTCTCCCGCTGATGCACAGCCGCTCTCCCGCCGATCCGCAGCCGCTCTGCTGCTGATCCTCAGCCGCTCTCCCTCCAATCCGCAGCCGCTCTCCCCCCAATCTCTCTCTCCACCAATGGGCTTCGTAACCGGGGTCCCGCAGCTGCCGGAGGGATGAATGTTTCACCGTTCCCATCCTCCAATGACACTATAGGTGGGTTCTTTATTCACCCCACTCCTGACACCAATTTCAGTGTCATCGTAACGGGAGACAAGGTTTCTAAGAGGGCACCTTCTTTGTGAACACCTTCACAGGTTCGCCATCGCATTCTCCCTAGTCGTCTAGCCTAGCCTAAACACAACCCTGACCACGTAACACTGATGGCGCTGACCGAGACAGCCAACAACTATCCGGCCGTGCAATATCTAGCGAAGACGGCAGCGACGAAGGCGGCAAAGATGACAGTGACGACGAGAAGAGCCCACTCCGAGAACCGGCAGCCCTGAGCTCCCACTCTCATTTGCCTTCCTTCTCGAACCCACTTGCAGGTTCCAAGGGCTTCCAGATGGTGTCTTTCGTAACCCTTGCCCCAGTTCCTCTGCCCTGCCGACACATCCATGTATATGCGCACTGGCGTGTGTACTATTTTTCCACCGCAATTGCCGTTGCTGGACAAAATTCGGCGTTATTACACAACACTAGTACAGCACACCGGTGTGTTGGAGAACAAATAGTGTGGTGGCGGGTTTCACAAAATATTTATATTTACACGATCCAACCCAAAAAAAACCTCTCATGGGCAATTAAGCACCAAATATTATCATAACATAGCAAATGCTTGGGAGCTTATTGGCTCTCGCTCCTGGTTAGACATCTACCCAACCGACAGGTCTACAAATACTGGCCACTCTTAATCTGTAGGTTGAACCTAGGAATTGAGTGTTCAACTTCATGTTATTTAATTAAAGGCCTGTGACAAAGGTAACTCTATTGGGGCTTCATTGTCTCAAGCTTACACATCTACCAGGTCTCCATTCAACTTTGTATTGTCTAAGAAGTCCACCCACACCTCCACTTCCACAAACTGCTGGGAGTTGCCTCGCTCTGCCTCACAGTCAGAATTCTCCTCCTGCTTCACGTTGCATCCATCGATGTGAAGGTCTGATTTTGGAGTTGAATCTTCATCTTCACATTTCACCTTCACTTCTTCACTCTTCACTGTCACTTCACATTTCACCTTCGCATTTTCATATTTCACCTTGATACCTTTTAAAGTGTCCAAGCTGGGATTTTCTTGTGGTTCCTTTATCATGGATGGGAGCATTGCAGTACTTTGACAAGCCGATTTCAGACTCCTCTCCTTGGGGATCTTCTGATGACTGTGTGTTCTCTGGTGTCTTTGAAGATTTGATGACCGTACAAATGCCTTCCCACACAGAGTGCACTTGAAGGGTTTAACTCCCGTGTGTGTTCTCTGGTGATTTTGAAGAGCAGTAGAACCTGAAAATGCCTTCCCACACACACTGCACTTGAAGGGTTTCACTCCTGTGTGTGTTCTCTCGTGGCTCTGAAGAACTGATGACTGTATAAACGCCTTCTCACACAGTGTGCACTTGAAGGGTTTCTCTCCTGTGTGTGTTCTCAGGTGTATTTTTAGAGTAAACGCCTTTGAAAATGCCTTCCCACAGACACTGCACTTGAAAGGTTTCTCTCCCGTGTGTGTTCTCTGGTGGTTCTGAAGGCTTGATGACTGTGAAAATGCCTTCTCACAAACAGTGCACTTAAAAGGTTTCTCTCCTGTATGTGTTCGCTGGTGTCTTTTAAGATGTGATGACTTTGCAAACGCTTTATCACACACAGTGCACCTGAAGGATTTATCTCCTGTGTGTGTTCTCTGGTGTCGTTTAAGAGTAAATGCCTTTGAAAATGACTTCCCACAAACACTGCACTTGAAAGGTTTCTCTCCCGCATGTGATCTCTGGTGGATTTGAAGACCTGATGACCATGCAAATGCCTTCTCACAGACAGTGCACTTGAAAGGTTTCTCTCCTGTGTGTGTTCTCTGGTGTTCTTTAAGATATGATGACACTGCAAACAGCTTCCCGCACAGAGTGCACCTGAAGGGTTTCTCTCCTGTGTGTGTTCTCTGGTGTCTTTTAAGATGTGATGAATCTGAAAATGCATACCCACACACACTACACTTGAAGGGTTTCTCTCCCGTGTGTGTTCTCTGGTGTATTTTAAGATGTGATGACTCTGCAAACGCCTTCCTGCACAGAGTGCACTTGAAGGGTTTCTCTCCCGTGTGTGTTCTCTGGTGGCTCTGAAGAACTGATGACCATGCAAATGTCTTCTCACACACAGTGCACTTGAATGGTTTCTCTCGTGTGTGAGTTCTCTGGTGCTGTGTCAAATTTCCAGAATGATCCATGCTGTTTGCATACTGGTCGCATTGTTGACTTTTTGCACCAAGCTGGGCTGAATGCCTTTGCTTCATCAGACCAATTCTGCAGAGGAAGCATCAGCTGCGGACAGATAACATCTACGTCATTGTCAAGCCACAGACGAATGCATATATACAGTCACACATGACTTACACGTCTATACTTATTCATATATTCATGATATATCTTCTTTGGTTCTTTCGGTGTCCTACCAGACAGTCTCGTCCCTTCACCTGATGAAGGCCGCTTGTGTTGTGGCCGAAACGTCGTGAGAATATTGTTATTTTATTTTATCAATTCATTATTTTATTCTCATTCTACGTGACTTTACCGAAAGAACCAAAGAAGATGAATCATTGCAGTCACGAAAGCTTTAAATCGAAATTCATGATATAGTGAAAGAGATTCCCCAAAACATCACACGGGCTGTTAAGGCACAAAATGGCAGGGCAAGTGGTCAGAAATATGGCTGGAAGCCCTAGTATCTTCAAAATGAACGTTTACCCAAAACTCCAAGCACACAATTTAGGCTATCTGGCTATGAAATAAATATTTATTTAAGGAAATTTCAGTTTACATAGCAATGGATGTTCAAAATACTACTTGTATTATGCATTTATGTATGAATTAATGTTCAAATGCAAATTAGGTGAAGCCAGGCTAGATTTGCTTGAATGCTCGGATGAACATAACTTCAGCTGCATGTGCTGTGTTAATTTTGACAGTTGCCATGCTCATAAAACAGTTCCAGAGGAAAACTAAAATAATCTATTGTTTTGATTTTACCTCTGTGTTCAACAGAGTTAATATACTTTACAGCAAATACAAAACTGACACTTGTCACACACTGGCATGGTAAAACGGTGGTGTGTCCAGAAACATACCTGGCCGCCTTCATCTGCTCAGTATTAATGCTTTCTCACTTCACCAATTAATTGAGGATCAATCAACATAGGGGAGGGCCACAATAAGTTCAGATTTAACTTATTAATCATGTTTGCTGTCAGCGATAATCAAAATCTAATTCTTGAGTTCATAATGCTGTGAAATAACTGCGTCACCGCTCCCAACATAGATAACTCTTACATACACATACATTGCACATGAATCAGTAACAGATATAAAAAAACAGCCACCATTCATCACTATTTGAAGTAACCTTGTCATAGTGCTCATGCCATGATAGGTGTAATTTAATGCCATGTAAGTGTGGATCACTTGTCAGCAGGTCATGGGAATGATCCAGGTGTCAAGGGATGACTGACTGAGATGATTTACAGGTGTGTAATGAGAGCGCCATCTCCTGTATTATGTGGGGTGATATACAATCATGGGTTGTCTCGGGGAAGGAGTGCATCTAGGCCAAAGGTAAAAGGGCGGAGTCACCCGGGAAGTCTCTGGAACGCTCCCGAAGGTTTTATGAGGGGCACGGCCAGAGGCGGGGTTTAGTCGCTGGGGAGCGTATATAAGGTCGGTGCCAGAAGATCAAGAGGAGCTCCCCGTCGCTGCTGCCCCGCTACCTCCATCAGCCACGTGGCGGCTCGACCTTCAGCCGCTCACCCGCTCCCTAGCGCACTGTCAGCCAGCAGCGTGCAAGAGAGTGGGTGAGTGCCGCGAGGCAGCGAAGCCCACTTGGGCGGCGTCTATCCGTAGTGTGAGTGTGTGAAGAGACAGGCGACAACTAACTGTACTGAAGATTTATTAACGAAACGTTTCAACTTTTTATTGTCGGAGACACTCATTACTGTGGTGTCAGGAAGTGGACTTTTCTGATAGAATTCTACGCGAGACACAATGTCTAAACATCAGAAAAAGAAGATCCCACCTGCAGTGTCTTCTGACGATGACGAGTCGGCGACTCAGCTCCTGCCGACCCTGGGGACTGTGGCCCCGGTGATGGGAGCCCACGACAGGTGCCGAGGTCGCACCTGCGGTGGATGGCAGGGCAGAGACAAGTCAACATTTACGCCTTGACGAGCCGTGGCAAAGAGTCGAGACCCAGTTGGGCGCGCTGACAACGGCGCTTCTCCGTTTTGTCACTCTCGTCACTGCTGGAGGAAGTCCGATGGTGGATCGTCCGGGGGTGGATGTGCAGAGGGCTGGTGATGGTCCCCCCTTGGTGAACACGGCCGCCATTTTCCAGTTGACGCCATTTTGTCCACCGCTGCGGAGAGCGGCGCATCGGCCGCTGGTTCGTCGCTGCCACGCGAGGTGTCGCCGTCCATAACGATGCCTACTTTCAAAGGAGAGCGCCGATCGGGGTCGACGCCTGCCTCACGTTCGCGAGTTCGTGGCAGCGGGATGCGACTGGAGTGATTTTCGCTGGCGTTTCGAGGCCGCCTACAAGTCCGTCCGATGGTCGGAGGCGCTCATCACCTTGCCCACCATGTTGGATGACGACACGTTGGCGGTGTTCCGTTCCATTCCATCAAACAAGGCGTCGCTTGCACAAGCTTTTCAAGAGATGGCGGAGGTCTACGAGCCGCCAGACAACAAAACGACGAAATTTCAGCACCATAGGCCGGGGAGCTCGTAATCGCCTCTCGCCTACAGAAGCGCTTTGGATGCATATCCGAATGTTAAACAGGAACTGTTGGATCCCGTAGTGATGGAACATATGTTGGCGTTGGCTAGGGAAATTAACGTTGTTCTTCCTACGTGCGGCCACAAAGGGAAGACGTCCTTTTGGAACGCGCGTTGCCTTAACGCACCGGAGAATTTGAAGCGCTGGGCGCAGATGGCGGCGTGGACGGGGGACCCAGCTAAGGATGGTCAGCCCTTTGATTTAAAGCTTTCGCGACTGCAGGGATTCATATTCTTGGTTCTTTCGGTAAAGTCACGAAGAAGGGAAACAGCCTTCTACGTGACTTTACCGAAAGAACCAAGAATATGATGGTCAGCCCATCGGCTGTTCTCCTAAGGAGGTGGTTGTCATCCCCAATGAAGAGGCATCGATGGGCGACGTCGAAACGGCTGTCCCTTGTTGGAATTGGCACCCTCGCGATGGTCGTCGCTGCCAGAACATCTACCGGCCGCGACCGTACGACGATCTGCTCCATCAGCGGCCTCCGGTCACGTGCTACAGATGTGGCCGGGTAGGCCATTATTCACGAGAGTGCCACGCTCGTGTTCCATTGCTGTCCGGATCGCCGACCACGTCTCCTCCTTTCGACCGTCTGCCATCACGTCCCTCCACACAGGCGAGTTGGCACACGTCGGGCACCCGGGCATGTTCGTCATCTCATTCATCTCATGCCGCTGGGATGGGTACATCACATCGGGACGAGTTGTTAAATTGTTCTTGTTCGTATTCTATTGCTTAAGGTTGGCCAGTTTCGCAAACAGTGGAAGAAATTGGCCCAACGTGTTGTTGCCGCGGCGGTCGGATCTTCGACGATGGCAGCCACAGTTCAGGGGGTGATGTTCGTGTTTTGGTAGATATGGGGGCTTCTGCCACTATCATTTCAGACGTCAGTTTTCCAGCTGTTATCGATTCTTGCGTCACGTGTATTGCCGCTAATGGGGGTAGTATGGCCATCATTGGCCAGGTTGAAGCATGCATCGCCATTGGGGATGTTCGTGCGACGGGGCCCATACTGATTTCGCGTACGTTGGCTGTGCCATGTTCGCTTGGCACTTTTTGGCCAGAATGCCTATTCAAATTATTGTGGATCAGGGATGTCTGGAATTGCCGTCAGGTCATACGTTGCGCTTCTTGTCAGTCGCTTCCACGACCGATTTCTTCAGCTATGGTTCAGGCTTTGTTTGATGCCACCGTTACGGTTCCGTCGGACTCCCAAATGTTGATTCCACTCCGATATCGTAAGAAAATCGCTGAAGATGTCGGGGTTAATGGCATTCTGTTGATGCCGTCGAATACTGCCACGCGAGGGTTGACATTGGTTTGTGCTCAAACCATTCTCAGAGTGGGTCAGGCCCCGTTTTTACAAGTTTTGAATGGGGGTCCGGGGGATATGATTGTGCCTGCCGGTACTGTTCTTGCTCACGCTACCACCACATTTTTGGACCGAGCTAAACACGCGGTGGCGCAGGCTGTTTGCTCAGTCGGAAATAAACGTCCGGTGGATGATCGATGGATCGCGGATTTGTGCGGCAAAATGCTTCTTTGTCTCCGGCTCAGCGTGAGGGATTGCGTATGTTGTTGTCCGAATTTTCTGATGTGTTCAGCAAGAACGACTTCGACTTGGGTCGGACATCCTTGCAGGCCCATCACATTGATACGGGTGATGCTAGCCCCATTCGGTTGAATCCACATCGCATGGGACCGTCAGAAAAAAAAGAGCGTGTGGCACGCCGTTGATGACATGCTAGCCACTGAAATCATTTCGCCATCCACTAGCCCATGGGGCACCCCGGTTGTCTTGGTTAAGAAGAAGAATGGTAACCTCCGGTTTTGAATTGATTTTCGTCGCCTAAATAAGGTCTTCATGGCTGACGCGTGTCCCTTGCCGCGAATGGATGATTCGTTGGATGCGATTTTTCTCTACCTTGGATCTCGGGGTTTTGGCAGCTGCCCTTTGATGAACCCTCCAGGCAGAAGACCGCATTCCGTACCCCGCAGGGTCTTCTTGAGTTTAACTGTTTGCCCATGGGATTGAATGCTGCTCCTGCCACGTTTCAGAGACTTATGGAACTTGTCTTAGCCGGCCTCCAATGAGAAACTTGTCTCATTTATCTTGACTATGTCATCGTGTTCAGTCGGATGTTTGAGGACCATCTCCTCCGACTTCGTACTGTTTTTGAGCACATGCGTTCTGCTAATATCATCTTTTGCAGACTTCAGTCCGATTTTTGGGTCATGTTGTGAGTGCCGACGGGATCTCGACCGACCCTGACAAAACGGCGTGTATTCGCGATTGGCCCGTCCCGGCGAGTGTATGGGATGTTCGGAGCTTCATTGGCTTCGCCTATTATCGTAGATTCATTCTGTGATTTGCGCCTATTGCAAGGCCGTTGCATGCGCTTACGGGCAAAAATCAGAGGTTCTGTTGGGGTCCGGAAGAGGAGGCTGCATTCAATGCCTTGCGGAATTGCTTGTCCGACGTGCCTATGCTTGATTACCCTGATTTTGCATCCCCCTTCATACTGGACACTGACGCCAGTGACACGGGCATCGGGGCTGTTGTGTCCCAGGTGAAGGGGGGTGTTGAGCGTGTGGTTGCGTACGGTAGTCGGGTTCTTTCGCCGCCTGAGACTCGTTATTGCGTCACTCATCGGGAGTTGCTCGTGACCGTTCATTTTGTTAAATTGTTCCGGCCCTATTTATATGGTAGGAAATTTGTTATACGTACTGACCATGCTGCCCTCCAGTATTCGTTGATTGGGCAGCCGGGAGGTCAGTTAGCACGTTGGTTGGAGTGCTTGCAGGAGTTTTAATTCGAGGTCATTTACCGGAAGGAGACTCGTCATGCTGACGCGCTGTGCCGCTTACTTCACGTGTCTCTGTGTGTGTATCGTTCAGGCACGAATCGCTGTTCTCCCTTGAGCACGTCTCGGCCGTTGGCCGTGGCCTCAGTTGATACGCTTCCTGTCGATGTAGCAGTTCCCCCCGCTGATGACGTGTTGCGCCTTTCGCGATCAGTGTGGATGCGCGAACAATTTGCTGATGCATCCCTGACTCTTTTGCGCGATCGGGCATTATCGATTGGAGGCGATTCAAAAGTTGTTAAGGGGGACCGTCTTTTTGTTCTGGATGAATTGTTAATGTGGCACGATGATATAGCGTTCCGGCCGAGATTGGTGGTACCAAATTCTTTACGCGCAGGGTTGATTCACACGTTGCACTCTGAACGCCTTTTTCATCTTGGTATTCAGAAGAGGGATTACAATTGGCCGGGTATGACGTCTAACGTTGTTGCAGCGCTCCGCGCATGCACGAAGTGTGCCCGGCGGAAGTCGCCCCGACAGCGTTACATTCCGCCTTTGCAGTCCATCTGTCACTCGCATCAATGAGTTGGTTGCTTTGGATGTGTTGGGACCGTTCCCCGTGACGCCTCGTGGTAATACATTTATTCTCGTTGGTGTCGAATACTTTTCTCGTTGGCCAGTGGCCTGGCCCCTGCCTGATCAATCTGCTTTATCCATCGTGGATGCGTTCGTGAATGTCTATGTGATGGATAAAGGAGCTCCAGCGAAGTTGCTTACCAATCAGGGTAGAAATTTTACTTCCAAATTGTTGCTTGACATCTGCACTATTTTGGGTACCAAGAAAATGTCGATGTCTCCCTACCATCCTCAAACTGATGGTATGGTGGAGCGTCTGAATCGGACTTTGTCCGCTACGTTGTGCCCGACCGTCAATGAGCGACAGGACGACTGGGATCTGCAGATACCCAGCGTCCTCTCTGCCTATTGGATGGCGCCTCATGCTTCCACAGGTTATTCGCCGTTTTCCCTCATGTATGGGAGGGAAAACATGCCGCCTGTTGATGTCCAATTGGGTTCCCCTGTGCTGCCTCCTAAGTCGACTCTTCCAGATCACATCCGAGAGTCGCTTCGACGTGTCTCTGAGGCTCGGGAGGCTGCCAGGGTTAACACTTCTAAGAACCAGGTGCAGAACGAGCGTTGTGTACGAAGGTCTAAGGTGGACATGCCATGGTCTGTGGGAGATCGGGCGTGGCTCCATTGTCCACAGGTGTCTGTTGGCACCTCTCCTAAGCTCCGCAAACCGTGGCAGGGGCCTGTCACAATCGTTGAGGTGTTACGCCCTCAGTGTGTCCGGATTCGTCATGCTCGTCGGCAGTGGTACATTCACCCGTCACGATTGAAACAATTTGTTGCTCCTGGGAGGCCATCGTCATCTCCAAATCCCGGAATCCCGGTGCCTGACGTGGCCAACAGGCCTGTTGCTCCTGTGCGGGGCGATCTTCCGAAGTCTGTTTCTTTTTCGCCCACAGCGCCTCTGATG